ATAGGTTGGGCTTCATGCAGTGTTCTTGATATGCGAGCGAAAGTAATCTTGGTGAAGAGCTTGTAAAGCATGCTCAGCACACATTTTGGACGGTAGTTCCAAAGTTCCTCCCTATCGCCCTTTATGAAGAAGGATTGTTCAGGAGGTTCTCTGGTCGGGGATCCTCTCCTTTTGAAGGTGGACGGTAGATGTTCCGCAAGTATCTCGTATAGGCAATGTCCTCACCCATAAGAGATCGGCCGAAACATGGTCCGACCCGGAGCCGTGGCCGCCTTCATGGTCTGGACTGCGGCGCGTACTTCAGCAGGTAGAATCAGTGGTGGCATTTCCCAAGTGGGAATAACGGGGTTTGACACGAGTGTTGACGAGCGAAAGAGATTGGTGTAGAATCTCTTAGATCTTACCAAAATAGGATATTGAAAAACCCCCAACAGAATTTCAACTTATATCAGTGTGATTGCACAATAAACAACACTTTTAAGGCTGAATGTCAAACTCATCACAAAGAGATGCCATATTTTTTATAAGTTTGAATTGCAGGCTGTGATTCAAAACATGTGTGGATGATTCCTATTCAGCCAAATCAATACTGAGACAGCAAAACGTGCATAGAGAAAGTGAGAAAAATGGTACTGAAAACTAACCACTTGATCTAGGCAAGCGGCATCCACAGCAGATAGTGCTTCCTCTTCGATGGTTGCACCTCCCTTACCTTTTTTCCGTTCGGTTACCTAAAGCAAAACACGTAGTTCTTATAAGATAGTCAAAAACATGACCAACCCTCCTAGTCACTACTATTTCAGCAGCATTCGCTACGCGATCTTGATATTTCGTCCCGATCTGGCGGCCATGCACAGGCTGCAATAATTATAAGAGAGTAGGAGTGGTATGATGAAATTGTTAGCTTTGAACCTGCATCTGTGCCCACGGTCCAGCGTAAGTGACTTTTAAACGTAGAAGAGGAAGTTTAGGTTGTTGGGGACCGCGGTTTTCTTCTGCTACACGGATCATTTCGTCGATTTTCTCATTTACGATCATCTCATCCTAAGTGCAACATTCGCCTATGGATACAGAACAATCAGTCCACAAATGATCCCACCAACACAAATCCTCCTCCAGCTGGTCTTATGCCATTAGCTGGCAATCTTACGCCTTCCGGGAGTGTGTCAAGGATAATTTCGTCAACTAACATCGGACGAGTGGTTTGTAGTGGAATAGGTTTGCACTGGAACTTTCGGCCCTTGACCTAAAAAGCTCACATTCCGATCAACGCGAAAAGCTGCAAACTATGTAAAAATTCAGCCAAATGCTGTTCGAACTAAGAATTAAGATTTGTAAGGTAGGTTGAACTTGATTTAAGCTCCATTAGATTTCAAGAATTTGCATATCGCCACTTTTAAAAGTTCTGCAATATATGATGTTTGAGTACATTTTCCTGGTGAGAATGGGAGAATCAGGACAACCAATAGATCTTAGCGAAAAGACAATAGTACTATTACCTTGATCAAGAAGACATTCTTTTGCAATGATTCTTCTTTTGTAAGCGATGTTGCAACGGTAGAACCAGGCTGCAAGATATAGAATCCATCACCCATAGCATCAGAAGAGGCCACATATTGACAATCTGAATAGGAAGTTGGAGCAAATTATGTAATATATAAATCGAATGATGAGTAAGACGTTTGATTGTCATAATTTAAGTCAAAATTCCATTTTTATGAAAGAAAAACTTCTATGAAAAATACTTACGCGGTTTGCTCTCATGCTCATGTCCCCAAAGAACGAGATCAAAGAAAGTGGGAATGTATTGCTCAGGCAGGTACGCACCGGTGGAACGATGGGTAGACCTGCAGAGACGGAAACTTTCAGGTATAGGCAAATCAAGAGTAAAAAGACTACCTTCTAGGACGATTTTGATGAAGAACAAGGATATTGAACCAATCATCATAACCCGCACGCGGTCGCAAGAATTTTATGGTATGTCCTGAATGTCTGGTTTACTCGTATTAGAAACATGGGTGCTCTACCTGCAAAAGCCCTGCAGAGTCGATCATCTCTCTGGCTTCCAATGCCAAATAAGGCAACACGGGTTGAGCCTTTGCGGAGGAGGATTGGGCTAACCTATAAATTATCTAGTCAATTCCATTTCTGTACGTCATTGTGTAGATGCACATTGCACAACAAATGCTAGAAATCCCAGGTCTTCTTTGTAAAATGCAACTATGAAGCTATGGTCATTTCAAAACTGGAAAAGAATATTAACCTCTCTGGATACAAGGTGCAATGTGCAGATACACATACAGTGTTGTAGAAAAGCGTTATTAAACTAACATCAAACTGATCGATATCAGCAAATTTTCCGAAAAGATTGATCAAACCTGCTTCGTGCAACACGTCGAGAATTGTTAGACCCTGAAGTGAGAAAGAATCTTATATTTTCAAAGGTTTTCGAGGTACGAATGGAACTGTAAAAGACATAATAGAAGGCGGTCATACCTTCCCAGCTGTATCATCGTGATTTCCATGTATGGAGAAAATCGGCAAACCCACATTTATATTCGCGTCCTAGTGAGAAATCAACGTAGAAAATGCTCAAGAATCCAAGAAAAGCTTTACAGATAATACTAACCTCGTAGTTTACCCTGTCGAAACGGCTGTGATCAAAATTCACTGTTGCATCTGATACAAACTCCAACGCGACCTTAAATAAACTTACTTCTGTTTCTCACTTTGCTTGAATTTTGCTTTAGATCATTTCAGATGATAAGGAACTTTTAGTAAAGCTCAATGCTACCCTTCTACGGTTTTTTCGCTAGAAATAGATGTTAATCATCTAATAATTGTTCGACGCTGGAACTCCTTGAAAATATTTCATAAAATAAGTAGAGCATGATAACAATGTTTCTAACTAACCTCTCTGTCATTGAGACAGTACTGACGAAGCAACTGAATGACACGATGCTGCATGTCCCGAGATGGATTGTTCTCGTGAAATAGATCACCCCCTAGACGTGGAGCTAATTTCTGAATTAAAGGAAAATTTGTGAAAATCTTACCTAGAAGAATCATGTCAACTTTCTTCTCCACAGCAATCTTCAGCACCTCTTCAAATGTATTTATAGAGTCGAGATACCTGAATAACGTTATTAAGGAGAATAAACCTGAGAAATTGTTGATTGCTTAAATTCCTCTATCGTTTGGATAAACTTAGCATTTGCTATTTCATGGATTTCCACATAATGAGCTCCCCTGAGTATGAAATTATGAAATGTAGGGGTTCTGCAAAGTCCATGTGACCACAACTGGCATGTGCACAGTATCTGCATCATCATATGCTTTTCATGCAAATTGATCGTTTGTTGCGAGGAAGACAAACGCGTGTGAGAACGACATTGTCTCACTGCCAGCTCCCTTCACATGGACTGTATAGAGGTTATACAATTCTTTAATAACTTGCGAAGGGATCTCCATAAGAGTTTCAAAATGCGTTCTTTTTAAGTTAACCTCTTTGGCAATGATCTAAGTTCATCAAAAGAGCCAAGAATTTGGCCTTTCCTCCCAATTCCGAAATTAAGTCGTTCAAACCATTCTATCCATTGTTCGTTTGACATCTGTTTCTATATGTTAAATGAACTTACAAGTGAGGCTTATTCTCGCCGTAACCAACGTGGATATCGCTGGCGATGAGAATTCGAAGGATGTCTTCGCTTTCGTTCGTTGACTTCTCAATCTGTTCTACCAAAGTATCGTTGGCAGGTGCTGGCCTAGCATCAGCCTCCTCCTCTTTCTCTTCATTATCATCCTCTTCGGCAAAATCACCAACGCCAAACATATCATCTACATAGCGGTCCTTAATAGGAGAACAAGAAGTAAATCAGAATAGAGAAGCACAAAGAACGCAACAAACCGTTGCCATTGCGACTGCCTCTATAAAATCCTATTATTGAATTCCAGCTTAGAAATTTGATTAAAGAACTGACAAGGCAATCAGCTGTAAAGGAATTCCCCGCACATTTTAGATCTGTAAGGCTCAAAAAAGGACGTAATCATACCCATATCTCACGCAATTCTGCGGAGTTCTTCTACTTTGTTTTCTTTCTTCTGTACTTTTGAGCCTTCAACGCCTGTACACATTTAAACTCAATATTTCTTTTTCATGGGCTTTTGCTTATAAGGAAATCCTAGAAATTTGGTTTAGTGCAATAACTTTTCCCTCCTGTCGCTGCATTCTTAATAAAATTTCCAAAGCCCATGAAAAAGTGTAACAATTTTTTTAAGAACACTATGGATGATGCTACGAAATCGCGTTTGAAGGCAATTCCATTATGCAAAACTAAAGCTGGGCCACGAGACGGAGATTTATGGATCGAGCGATTGAAGGTTTTCAAAATTTTTCTAGATTTCGATTGCAGTTGAACTTTTGTAAAGCTTACAACTTGATTAAGACTACAGTCGTTTTCTGCAACGTTGCGGCATTTTTTATTTACTCAAACATCCTTATCTTCAATGACAAAGCATATATCCACTTAATCGTTACATTAAACTTCAACTGCACATCACCAAAGTTCAAATTTCATGTATATGACCTATATATCTCGCTTAAATCGTTTGTATAGGCGGCGGCTCCCATTTTTTCCCGGAATGATGGAGACTTTGTATCCTAATAGTTGCTTACATCATTACAGCAGGTTTTTAGGAAGAATACCAAGCGATCATCAAGTTCGTACAAAACAATAAAGAGTCTGATTCGGATTGGTTTCGCCTTGAATCAAACGCGGATGGTACGAAATGGTTTGGGAAGTGCTGGCACTATCACAACATGGTTAAGTGAGTTTTTTTCAGCATTGCATTGTTTAATCGTATTGATTGTTTTTCCATGATTTTACTCTGTATATTTGGCTTTTTTTGCCTCAGTCATGTGCCTAGTAACTTCTACATCACCTATATTAATTAAGAAATGTCTTGAGGAGTCATGTGAAGGGCACTTTTTAGGTACGAATTCGACGTTGAATTTGATATTCCTATCACGTATCCAGTTACTGCGCCTGAGATAGCATTACCAGAGCTAGACGGAAAAACTGCAAAGGTACATGTTTCCAATATACTGTGAGGGCGGGATTTTCGGAAATGTTTGCATATGACTATGAAAAGAATCAAAAGTGCCAGAAATTTCTGAACTTCATTTTTTCTGTTACAATCATACGCGAGTGAATTCCTCCATATTTTCTCTGTTTGCCTCCCACTTTCTAGTTAAGATCGTTTGGAAACTTGAGCAATTATTCTTTCAAACGAGTTTGAATCTGAATTCAAGTCGCCAGAGAAAAGCCGCAGTATCAAATCGAAATTTCCAAAACACCAAAAAGTATAGCTTTTTTTTTTGGAAT